CTAAGCAATGCTACACAGAACACGGAGCATTAGTTGTTATGTGTGTGTACAGAATGACAAATGCTTCCTGGTATTCCCAACGCTCAAGTTGCCTCAATATCAACACCCAGAAGATGAGCCCTGTTCGTCATACCGTGTCCACCTGAAGTGCTCATTTCTGGTACAAAATTAACCTCAACTATTCTTCCATAACTGGATGATCAGGCACTGTGTGTCCTCTCCCCTCATCTCTGGCCACTCTTCCTTCACTGAGCAAGCGCCCCTGGCTTCTCTCTGTTCCTCAAGACAGAATCACATTCCTGCCCTCTCTCTAAGTGCAGAATATAGTGCCGCGCTCTGAGCTCCTGATCTTTGCACGCTAACACCACCGCTTCCATTCTGGGGGTCTAGGCTTGAATGCTACGACCTCCCATTCTAAACGAAGTTCCTACCCACACCTGAGCACCACAGTTCATTGCTCTACTTGTAATTCTTACACGTCGTAAAGACGTTTTTATTTGTGTGCTGATAAAGTTTCACATCCTCTTGCCCTGAAACAGGAGCACAGCATGTCTGGCTTGTCACTACATACCCAGCAAATCTCCCACAAGTAATGACTGCTCAGCAAACACTGATTTTAGTGAAACAACAAACAGTGACTTGTCCTAGCTTTCTTCATCTATAGAACAGGAAACCAATGTTCTGGAGAACACTGAGGCACAGGTCAGGCCAAGCCGGGGTTACTGAGCCAGGACTAAGGACAGAGCAGAAATGTCCTTGAAACTAGGAACAGGAAAGGGAAGGGAAGTGCCCACATACTCTGTGAACTTTTCTAACTGCTCAGGAAGGAAGAGTTCTATGTTTTCATGTGTGTCCCTTTTCATTCCAGACTGTCCCATGAGTAGTACTCCAAGTAAATTAAAAGTGAGAATTTGCTGTTTCTCTTAAAGGCAAAGATAAGAGTCCATTTGGCTGTGTCACTCTGTCCCTTCGGTTTCGTGGAGACCTTGGCCTCTGGATCAAACCCAAAGCCAGAGGAAGAGCCTGATATCCTGAAGTCCACCACCCCCTTTCCTGTCCCACACACTGTTTGTATAGAATAACTGTTGCCCACACACAATCTAGCTAGTACTTTGGACCCAAACTGAGCTTTGTACCCTTTTGCAACTCAATTCAATGTATTCTTTGCCCAAGTGAAACACTGGAAAACTAACTCTGGTTGATGGACCCCATGAGTGTGCACAAAGAGGGTCTATAATAGTCATCTGCAACCAAGGACACCAGGGCAAAGCTGCCTTTATTTGGGATTGCGCTGGGGTTCACTGCTCAGCTTCAGGCTGCCAGATACTCTTTCTATTCCTCCTCAGTGCTCCAAGACTTTCAAATAAGAGACCAGCAACCCATTTACCATTCACCGGGCAAGTTCTTCGTCGGCATGTCACAGTGCCAAGCTCTGTCCTGGGTTCTGTGTCATGGGTACAGATGCCCTCAGGAACAGGGGAACTTGCAATGAGTTTCCAAGCACTGTGGCTATCCAGGGGCTTCCAAGGTCTCTCCCTTCATAATGGGCAGGACAGTTCTGCCTCTGTGAGTCAAGAAAGTGGCACACAAGTTCCCATCCCTAAACAACATCATAGCCAGGTAGACCAGCAGAAGCTACACATTCTCAGCCATTGCTGAGGATAAAGCAAATGCTACGTTAAGACGCCTGGCCTGTGAGGACACCAGGAGATGGAGTCTGGTGCTACCTTCAGGACTGACCCTGTGCCCATCAGAGTCCAGCTCCATCAACTGTACAGAGGCTCGCCAGATCTTGGCAGCACCCGCTCTGCTGATCTAAGTATCTGTGGCCTAAAATGAACTGCTTTTCTTCCTGATTCCTCAAAATGGATTTACTTTAGAAATCAGGAAGGGAGGTGACTCAGACATGGTAAGCAGTGGTGCAGTATCTTACAAAGGCCATCTGTGTCTGAGGACCGTGCCCCTACTTTCTACGTCAACAAGAACTCTTCTGTCAATTGCCTTAGACTACATCTGCCTATCTTTCTAATCCTAATACTTTTAAATGCATAAGCATAAGGCAAATTCAGCCTTGAGCAAGAAGCAACAAGCTCAAAGCTAACAAAGACTGGCTCAGGGTAGATGACCTACAGTACATCTTGTGTTCCTGGACGGTATGCTCCTGACTCCTTCTTGCCTGGCCACAGAAACCCATTCCCTATCACTTCCTCCTCCCTCAAGCTTGACACTGTGATGCACCTATAAAATACTGGGAAAGGGAACAGCCACTGAGAACCAGAGTAAGGAGGCCCCAGCCTCTGGCCCCAGATCAGCTTCTGCTTGACGAATCTAGAGGATCTCTTCTACACTTTGTGTTGATGTTTGGAACAGGCTCCCTCGAGGCCAACTTTTCACTGCTAAAGTGATTTTTTTTTCCCCCTATGACTCACTAATGAAACCATCAAGGCAGAGACAATTTCCTACCAGGTAGGAAACTGACATATGGAGGAAGGGCAGGCAAAGCATAAAGGCAAATGTAACAGACTTAGGAACATCAAGACCTAGGGACAACTGCAAGGTGCAGGAAGCTAGCTAAGGAAAAAGTCAGAGCCTGGCATGGTGGTGCAATCCCAGCTCTGAGGTAGGCAGAGCCAGCCAGATCTCTGTAAGTTCGAGGCCAGCCTGGTCTCCAAAGTGACTCCAGAACAGCCAAGGCTACAAAGAGAAACCCTGTCTCAAAAAAATAAAAAAACAAAAAAAGGAGAGAAAAGTCAGAAATGTCTAGATTTTTGATAGAGAATTTTTAAAAATGACACCATTGAAAGGTGATGAGGTTGGGTATGGTGCTATACAACTGTAATCCCGGCACTAGGAAAGAGAAGCCAGGAGGGAGGATCAGGACTTCGAAGGCAGTCTGGGCTACATGGTGAGTTCCAGGTCAGCCTGGATGCCTGCAACCTGGTCTCAAAAAGCCCAATAAGTAAACAGCAGGCTAACCCAGCAGTTGCTGGTCTAACATACTTTAGCACATGGCTGCTAGCATCATGCTATCTGCAGTCAAACTCCAGCAGTGCAGACCTTTGGGAAACCCTTTAGCCTCTCTACCTCTCTCTACTATACTGTTACCTGTACCCTAAAGAGAAGCACTACCTCGTGGGATTTAGAAACAACTAATACAACTAATAACCCACTTTGTTGGCTGTTTGGTTCAGTGGCAGAACTCTGGCCTAGCAGGTGCAAGGCCCTGTAGTCAAGCAGCAGCAATTATAAAATAAAATAAATATATAGATAACACACTAGCTCATAGAAGCACATCTGAAATATCTTCTGCTATTATAATATGGTCATGCGCCCTGTACTTTGCTATTATTACTAATGAGAAAGGATATATAGATTCTAGTCATTGTTCTCATTAGTGACCTTGAATTCAAGTTCCTCATTTGTAACATGAAAAGCTGAACACATTTCTAAAACTAGAAGCTCTCTCTCTCTTTCTCTCATGTGTGTGCTCACATGAGCATTCCCAGGATTATACTTGGGTTTTTCCATGAAGATGTTAAACTTTCTGTGTTTCCATTTCAATGATCGTCTGAAAAAATTCTGGTACACCTATCTGGATCTACTTACATTAGCCTAAATTATGCCACAAGCCATCAAAGCTCCAGTTTATATTAGTGTGTTCAACTGTATGACTGTAACATCCTCCTGATGGGATTGGACTAAAGGAAAGCCAAGTGATATTAGTGAACGTTGCCCAAATAGAAACACAGATGAAGAACGACATCATTAGCACAAAGTAATACAGACTGTCCAAATTCAAAATGGCCAGTATTACATCATCTACCACTATATTTCACATGGCCACTTGCATATAATCTGGATTTCAGTTAAACAAAGTCAATTTTCTTACTATGCTTCAGGTGATACTTTAAATTGCAATGTTTTTTTTTTTTTTCAGTTTTGTTTGTATTTGATTTGTAAATCTGTATAGGACCTATGGTTTTATCATCAGGGTTTAGATCTATTTTTACTTTTATACTCAATTCACTTTATAATATAAACATCAGTAAACAAGAAGGTACCTTCATATATTCTCTTAAAGAAGATCTGTAAGTGCTATTACACTTCAAGAAACACTAAATTAAACTCTCTTCAAGGTTCACTAAAGGTGTTTGAGTTGCAAAAGATTATTTTGGTTACACGCAGTTGAACTTCATTGAGACAGCCACATGGAGATGCAGGGCTGGAATCCAAGAAGAGTGCAAGACAGGAAACAGGTTTAGAAGTGACCTACAGAGACATATAGCTAAGCCAAAAGGGCAGGAAGAGAAGACTCAGAAGGAATGGTCAGAGATAAAGGAACCACATGAAAGGCTGACCTAAGCCTCAGAGAGCTCACCTTGCACTAGAGACGCATCTTCCTCCATGGAAAAACAACATTCACCTATGAAGTCATGGCGGGCTTGCTGGATTACTCAAAGATATACTGGCCCACATCAGAAGTGGGTGGCTTAGGTATGTCCACAGAAATGACAAGTCTCACTTACCATAATCTTCCAGGCTCTTGTCAAAGCTGAGGAAGGCAATTCCCGCCTAATACTCAGATTGCCAGGGACATATCAAAGACCTGCTTCATCGCCTCACTTCACAGAAATGCTGAGGCCCACAGGGTGCTTGTGGGTGGCTCCAGGTAGCTACCAGAACTTCAGTGAAAGGAGGTAATGGGATGATGGGGGTCATTTTCTGCCAGATTGCAGAAATAAGAATCCATGCCCAGGAACTAGCACAAACCCAAGCTATCGTTTATGCCTGACTGAACACATTCCCTCCTTGCCAAGCCATGGGACCACATCAGAGCCACACAGGCCTGTGTCCACAAGTGCCTGTGTCCACAAGTGCCAGACTCATTTAATGATCACCAAGTGGAAACCAGGAACACACCCTTCCCTCCCTCCTCCAACCTCTGGCACAGCTCTACCGGAGAAAGCAAGCAAGAACCCTACAGAGAAACCCATGCTTACTGTTTGCCTTCTTCGAAATGTCAGGTTCTTCCACAGCAGCAGCCTCAACTGAGGCCAACAAGCCATGTTACCTCTGCCAGCACCCACAGCCACTAGAGTGTGTGGCTCGGAAGTCCTGGATGAAGCGGCCGGAGCACACAGTGACGCTGTGGCTGGTCATTAACTGAAAGATAAAGCAAGAGGAGAGAGAGCTGTCAATCACTGTTTGAAGACCTATGCCAAGAAGAGCTGTGGCTCCAGCCCTCTCACCAGACACCTCCAACACCCTGGCTGCTCGTCAAAGGGTCATGAGTCGTGGACTGCCAATCTTCACAATTTCCAGCAGACAGAGCTTCCGGGAGGCTTACTGGCTCTAGGCTGGAAGCTAGATGCAACGGTCCTTATCACTGGAACACCACTGATGTGATCATTTAAGGATAAAAAATGCATGTGTGACAACAGATTTGAGAGAGCAACTTTCCCTGGCCAAAACTGAGGTTAGAAATGGCCTCCTGGAATCCCAGGGGCCTGCCTCCATCCCCTAGAAATACATGTATCCTACCAGGAAATGTCAGCAGCATTTATAAACCCTCCCTCAAGCCTGGAGCGACCTGTGCTATTCCCTAACATTCCCGACAGACAGTTTTCATCTGGCCACAAAGCTGAGTCCTTGGAGTGATAAATGGCATCATTAGCAAGGCAGTTTTCCCAGGTGGAAAGGTGAGGATTGTCTTAGATGATTGGGAGTAACCATCAAAGAAATGCCACCAACACCTGGCTCCCAGGTGATAGGGACAAATCTAGTGTTGTGTCTCTGCGGAAAGCAAACAGTATCCCACAGAGAAGAGAGCCTGCCTGGTTTGAGCACTGCACGGCATCTGCCAAAGTGGCAGACTCCTACAGTTGGGACTTTCGCAGCACACTTCTGGCCTCGCTCTATCCGCACCTGAGCACATGGCCACTTTACTCCTATCCCAGGTGTCAAAAAGGTCTCCCCGAAGAGCCATTTCGCCATCCTTGGGCTTTTCATGAACACACTGTACAACAGTCCTTGTGTCCTCGTTACCCAGTACCCAGCTGTATTTATTCAATGCTGGAAAAATTCCAAAGAATTCAGCTAAACGTGCTAAGGAATAAAAGGAAATTGAGAACTGCTGGGAAAAAGAGGGACCCACAGGTTATTAAAGCTGGGATCTGTCAACAGTTGATAGTCACCAATTTTCAGCAGAAACCATTGTTAGTAATGATTCTTAATGACTGCGGCTTCTAGCACCTATGCTTTCTATTGTATAAAGGCATAAAATGCTAACAGACAAAACCAAAAGCTGAAATGGAAACCCCCAATCTTAATAATGCAGACAAGGTTTCTGAAGGACCAAATATATCAGGGCACAGGGGTCTTTCTTTCATGAGACTGTTTCTTCTGATGGGATTTTAGTTCCCTGTGATACCCCTTCTTCTCCCTAATACACGTGGACTGAGATTAAAAATTTTTAGGAAAGAAGGAAGGAAAAAAAAAAAAAACATTACATGGAGAAACCATCATGTCCCGAAAAATGGATGCCCCATAATGGTTAATTCTAATTCATTTATTAGTGATAGGATAAATCGGAAATTCTGTTAAACTCCAAAGCCTTCTTCTTTATTACAGCTCAGCAAACCCAGAAAGGGCACAGACTACTACTCATAGCTCCTCACTGCAAAAAGACTTTGTAGGCCAATACCCAAAGGAAGACCTAGCCAGTACCACTTGGCTGGCAGTTCTCTGCTGAGAGAGGCCAACTGGACCCACAGCAATGACAAGCCAATGACCAAACTGTTTCTAAGTGACACTTAAAATACTAAAGTAAAGAATTACCTGGGATTTTCTCCTGTTAATGCCACTCTCCAGGTTTCACTTAACTGATTTATAGGGTACAGAAATTTTTTAGAGCCCCCTAGTAAAATGGCGGAAAAGTTGTAATACAATACACTGTAACAAAAAACGAAAACTGACCCCCAGTAGGCACTAGCCTGCCCCCCAATGACCAACTCTGTTCCCGGGACAAGATGTAAAGTCTCTGAACAACAAGCTCCTCATTCCAACAGGGGATGCTGGCATCTCCCTTATGTGGTACTCTAAGTATTAAACTAAGGTGATAGAAAAAAGTTAAGAATGCAAGATGTAATGCAAATGCCAAAGAAACCCAGGTTCCCATCAAAGTTTTACAGGTAACCCCCAGCAGGAAAATGGGTGTCTTATCTAAAGAGGACATTCTGTTATTTCTAGTTTCTGGGGGTAGGGGTTAAACTGGGAGGGGCAAGCTTTGAGTTAGAGCTGGTCTCTGGGGCAAAATCCATGTCTGGAATTGCTTCCTAATTCCTAAGCGGAGATGGTCAGTGACACAGAAGACAGTGCCCTGCACAACGCCCTTGAGAGGAGAGAACACAGCCTACACCGTGCCCTTGAGATGAGAGAAGAAAAACTGAGTTTTCTTGGAGAACATTTTCCTAGAGGTTAATGAGTTTCTGAGTCTCCAAAACCAGTTTCGGACTCCAGGCTCCCAGAGACACAGCAAGGATGTCATGAGGCTAGAGGAAAGGTTGTTCTCTGCCTGTGCATGCCGCATCACACAGGCGACATTCCAGCCCATTCCTCCTGCCTACCTCAGCACCTCCTGGACACCTGAATAAGTCTCACCCACGTCTTCATCTCAGAACCCAGAGATCAATGCCAATGGCCAACTTTACTCAAAGGGGGGTTGGGGTGTGGCCATGCCTGAGCCCTTCTACCCAGGTACCAAAAGCCAATGGGACATTTCCACATCAGTTTTCCAAGGAAGTGAGCACACAAACCTCAAACAGCACACGGGGGGTAAAGGCAATCCCGTGCGCTGGATTTCTCAATGTTTCGAAGTATAGCACGCTTGCTCCTGCCCTACACGAATTTCCAGGCAGTGGCTGGAAGGGATCCCACTTTAGAAAGCTTCGCCAAGTCATCAGGCTGCTCTTGTCTTGAGCCTGAATGACTACAGATGCAACTCCAACTGGCTTCTTCGGCTCCAACCTCGCCATTCTCCTCCCTTGGACACACAGCACCGGAAATATCTGACTAAATCAAATATGTACATATGGCACTTGCCTACCCTTCACCTGCTTCCTATCACCCTGGATGGAGTCCTCACCAAGGTTTACTCAACCTCCCTGGTGGGTCTCCAGCTACTGCCACCTCCCCTCATTTATTCGGCCATTCCCTGGAGGGTTCATGGGCTAGGAACATGCTACATGGACTTCATTGCGACAGTACTTTCTCCAGAACTGTGAGCCTACCTATCTCCTCCACAATTCTGCGCCTCCACAGGGTTGCTACCAGCTCAGGAATCCTTCCTGATCACCCCCCTACCCACACCTGAATGAGTTTTTCTTCAGTGCTTTCTCTTGCAGAGTCTGTCCCCTTCTGAGTCAGGACAGTGGTATTCCTGGTTCCTTCATCTCTGCTATCTCTGGTGAGCAAATAAATCAGTATTGGCTTGTTGGAAGCACTCAGGGGACATGGCCTCAATTAATATTTTAAAAGATGGCCATGAAAAACAGGGTGGCAGAATTCAAGGGTGGTGGCATTCTTGGGCCTGTGGTAACTGATTTCTCAAGCTTGATTAACTGATTCAGGCAATCTGTCCCCAGGGAGGGAGCTCTGTGTTCAGTTGCTTCTGGGGCATGCTCAAGACAGTCACAAAGGACCACAGAGCCTCCCTGGTGACTTCTCAGGCATCCTGGGAAACATAAGTGAATCTAAGTCTACTCCCCATAAACATCAGGTTTAGCTAAGGACCAAGTAGACCTCCCAAGACCACTGGGGCCACAGAATTGGCTTTCTATCAGGCTTTATACTCAAGTCCTCGGGTCAATCTCTGTGGTTCGCAGCAATGGTTCCACTTATCAATCTGATAATTTCCACATCCAAACCTTGATTTGTGCAAGATGGATCCGGACAAAAATGACTGTTCTAATCTTCCACCAATTTGTTTAGCAACTTTCATTCCAAATGCCAGTTGTTAGAATCTACAGAACACAAAAGTCTGCTAAAAAGTAACCTTCCTGAATATGCAACAATGCTTAAAACAGTGCTTATAGGGAAATGTAAATTGAAAACACAGTGAGATCTGACTTCACACACACTTAAATTTAAAAGCACTAACAAGCGTGTAGTGGAATCAAACTGAATACACTGACTTTAGAACCATAAAATGTAAAAGCCACTTTGGAAAAATGTGGGAGTTTCCTATGGAGTAATACATTTGATGATCCAACCATCTACCCTATCTTACTCCAAAGGAAGTGAGACCAAATGTCCACACAAAGACATATGCAAAAGTTTATAGAAGCCTTATACAGAAAAGCCAGTTGAAAACAACCAAATTTTCATCAGCAAGTAAATAAATGAAAGTGGAATATTGCTGAGCAACAAAAATGAGCCAATCACTGGCACACACAACAACACATAAAGATCTCAACAGCTGTACACTTAGAGAATTAATGCAGGCACAGAAGACAAGCACATACTATCTGATTGGATTTATAAGGACTATAAAAAAGTGAAACAACAAAGACTGAAACCAGGCCACTGGTTATCAGAGGTTATAGGTGGAAGAGACAGGGCCACAAATGTCAATACTGGGAAAATGGTTAGAGTCACACCATTGTGTCCTTCTACGAAAAATCCAACCACATACCTTTAGAGAGGTACATTTTACAGAATGTAAATCATACATCAATAAACCCAACAACAAACAATCTCTTTCTCTTATAATAACTAACATACCCCACAAATACAACCATGCTTTAGAAGATCAGTCATTACTTAGCAACTCTGTCAATCTACTCTGCCAGGCTCCCATTAACTACAACAAATGTTTAGTGGGCACCTATCACATTTCATGTGCAGAAGATTCAGGAGTGAATGAGAAAGGCATAGACCCCATTCTCAGGAGCACTCTAGCAGAGAAAGTGAGGGAACACAACATGGGAAGGAGGTTCCCTCTGATGAAACATCTCTAGAATAAAGTGAGAGGCTGGGCCAGCCTTATGCAGCCCACCAAGGGTCAGCCAGTATGATAAATTCGTTTCACTTTTCCCTAAAACAAACTGGAAAGCCAAGCAGACGCAAACACTAACAAAAGAAAGAGAAAAAGAGAGAGGAAGAAA